GCAGATTTTAGAGTAGGTGATAAAGTGTTAAAGCGGAAATTTTCTTTATCAAGTGCCCCAGATAATTTCACTGCAAAATTGGCTCCAAAGTTTGAAGGCCCCTATGTAATACAGGAAATCAAGGGAGTCGTATTGTACCTTAAGAACGAGAGAGGGGAAACCTGTAAAGCAAGTCCCGACCAGGTGAAAAAATATTATAATCAAAATGATTTCGAAATCCTTAAAAGTTTCTTGCAGGACTCAAGCGCAAAAGAAGTGGAAATTCCAGAATTAACGCCGCCCGCTCCACCACCCAAGAAGCAGAGAACAGAAGAGGAACCTAGCCCTTCTACAAGTCATTCTAGGGTCCCGAAAAGAAGGAAGGAAAATGGTCACACTCCAGCATTCAAGAAGTGCAGGAAATCAACACCGCATCGTAAAGAATCTCTGGCAAACACGAAAAGAAAAGTTACAACTTCCCACAGTAGAAAATCTGCGTCGAGGAAACCACTTCCAGGGCCAGATAGTAAGGAGCAAACAAAGCCGCCGTTCATGAGAAGAAAAAGATAGCAAGAGGAAAGAAAAGATTGGCACCAGCAGAAAAAATTCAAGCAAGAATCCAGACCGGAGGCCACCAAGACCAGCCGTCCAGGGACCCAACGGAAAAGACAGGAACCCGAAGACTACCACCCCAAGAGGCCGGCGTACAGAGGGCGAAAAAGTCACCATGGAGGAAACTCGAAGAAATCAAAAGAGGAGATTAACTTCCATGAATTCTGTAACTTGGGATCAATTCTGCTAGAAGAGGATGTCGGAGTTCCAAGCATCGAAAAGTCAAAGATAATTTAAAATCTTCTATAAATTTTTCTTTTGTTCTGAAATGTTATGTGTAAATACGAAGTTCTATGTGTTGACGGAGGCCCACCAGCGGCCGAGCGGTAAAGTCGCTGAACACTGGTAGTTCGGTTCGAGGTTCGAATCCCGCGAACGGGCTGGCTGCATGGGCGTTTTCGTGGTTTTTCCCATGTGTAACGTGTATACGAGCCAGTTTCCCTTAGAAAGTCCTCCACGAAAGGCATCCCTCCCTTTAGGCAGATAGCCCTCGAGGCTTTGCCATAATCACACACACACACACACACACACACTATGTGTTGACGGAAGTCAATTTGTCTCGGTTGAGACTTAGTTTTGTTTTACTCTATTTAGCTAAGGCAAAAACATTATTTTCTTTAAGTGTAAAATCTAAGAGCAAGCAGTTCGTGTTTGTCGAAAGACTGGGTCTGTTATGTTAAAGCCAAAATTTGGCCGAAAGTAAAATAACTTCGTATTCTTGTATTAATGGAAAATTTAGTTTCAGTGCCGCCAGCTTGGCGAAGAAAGCGTGAAGTAAATTTTTATTTTCTCTTATTCATCTAATGGTAAATTGTAAAAATCATATGTATTAGAATTTTGTAAATATAGGTAAATACTTGAAAGTTACGTAAAAGTAGAATTTAGTCTAGAAGCATAAAATTTTAGATGCTAAAAGTAAATGCTCAAAAGAAACGAGTTAAAACCTAAGTGTTAAACAGTAGTTAAAATCATGCTTTAGAGCGAAAGCCTGCATGTGAAAAAATGAATGAGGGGGAAAATTAGAATGAATGTGTTTGTTAGGGTTCTCCACTTACACTTGAATTTAAGAATGTTAAACATAGCTCATCGAGTTTCAGTATGTTGGATTAAGGTGTGTCATATTTGGTCGTTTGAATTCTAACAAATCATTGTGGTTAGGGGAAGTGTTGTAATACAAAAACACGAAGATTCCCGTTTGACACCACACATGGTGGAGAACCAGGGTAAAGTTAAATTCATGTTTGAATATTTGAATGAATGTGAATGTAAGCAGTTAAATAAGGAAAAGAAAAGGATCGAAAACGAAAACATTATCGAGTGTTAAGAAAGTGTAAATCATAATGTATTTGGAATATACTGATACTTATTCCTTCCAGATGCTGGAAGGAAGAGAAAAAGATTGATTGATGAAGACCAAACAGCAGAAGGGATCCTGTAAGAAGATATTGTATTCTAATCATCTACAGAAACGATTGTAAATGTTTTAGGCAAAAGTTTGTTTTATGTAAACGGCGCTCTTGAGTCTTAGGTTAGAATATGGAAACTTTTCAACAGGTCGTTTCTAGGACCTGCTTCCAAGTTTACCAAATTCTGGCAGCGGCAAATGTAGGGTTTATACTTATTTTAACTAACATTTATTTTAAGCTATCGTTCTTGTCAAGCCTTTACTTTTCCCTAGAATTGCCAATGCTAGAGTATGTAAATTGTAGTAGAGCGCGCAGTATATTCAAATTTAGCAGAAGTAAGTTGAGTTTAAATAGAAGGGAAACGAGATTGTAAGTGTGCTTCTTGAATCGCGAACGTGAAGGTTGCTAGGTAGAAATTTAAGAACCCGCGCGTTTCGGCCTGTGTGCCTATCTCGGCAGTTTGCTGAATCTTTCAACTGCTTAATTAGTAAGCTCGCTGAATCTCAGCTGTATTTTAGAACGCGGTTAGGTTAGTTAAGATCTCAGAGCCTCGTAGGTAGTGATCTAGCTATTTATTCATCCAGTCGTTATTTTTCAGTTTTACATTCTGTTTCGGTTAAACCGTCAGGTCGGCGTAGTTTGTGAGCGTCAAGTGAACGCAGCTGTTATTTTTAAAGTGGAATAAAAAGAGCTTTAAACCCTTCTTACGTGTTTGTGTAAATTTACAGTGCATAGCAGTCACTACCACAGTTGCTGACAAGTTGGGGCCACACAATACTACAAGCTTAATTTAAAGAACATGTTGAACACAGCTTTTACAGTGCTTATGCGGCTTGCATGGCAATTCACAACTTAATAAGCTTAAGATGTCTTAAACTTATTCTTCGAAAAAAATAATATAATATTTGACTTTTATAGGGCAATTCTCTTTAACATAAAAGCAAACTGGAGAGCTACATAAAAAGCCTACAAAAGAGTGCTCAATATTTTTAAAATAAAGTTTTACTTCCTGTAGTTAATGCTTGATGATTTGTTAAGTACATTCAAATACTCAGTACAGTTGTTCAAATACAATTCTTCTCAAGATGACTTTATATTCATCAGAATGTTTGATATGATCCTCTGTACAATCCTTCCATTTTTCAGAAACTCCAGACTTAAAATAAGCTGCAAGTTTAGCACACTATGACCCTCTTATTGGTTTTATTGAAAATAAAACCATAAAGTGACCATAAACCATAAAATAAAAGTGATGATAAAGATCATCATATGTGCAATGCGCATATAGGCAAATTAATGCTTACATACAAACAACTCTCCATCGAATATAGTAACTGACGCCTGTAACTCGACTATCTTGCTTGCTTTCCCCACGTGAACGCTAAATTTTGCATTTGCCAATGATTCTGAAATATCAATTACACTCGGACATTAATTCAAACCAAATTGTTTAAAATACTTTCAATGCAGATAAATGTTTATCTGAAAAACCTACAAAGACGGCTGGAGACAAACATGTATTTTATACGAAGGTCCATACCCTTTATATTGGGAGGGATGGTCCCATTATCTCAAAAAGCAAATAAAATAAAAGATAAGAAAACCAAATAAGATAGAACTTGGAGATACTCTTGGGAGATAGAATTTCTTACTTTAAAATTGGAAGATTCAGGAAAAATTGAAGCGAAGAATAATAAGGAAGATAAAAAACAATTCCTGAATAATATAATGAAAAACCAGAACAAAATGAGAGTAACGGACCAGACGGAGTGTAAACGAGAACAGAAACGGAGTGTAAACGAGAGCAGAAACGGAGTGTAAATGAGAAGAAACTCAAACTTTTAAAAACTGGATAGAAGGTTTGACTAAAAAGAGCTAAATTTATGGCCAAAATAAAATTGATAAGATTAACTTATTCATTTTTAACTTTTGAAAAATTTGAGGTAGGCATTAGTACTTTGTTAGTTTTCAGATTTCAATTAAGATGACTAATTTCTAATCCGACATCTAGCTAACTATAGTAAATTAGAATCTTCGAACTCTAAGAAATTTTCTTCTTTCAGTGCAAATGGTATTAAAGGAAATCAGCATTAGTTAAGACACTTCTGGTAAAAATATAACATGATTTAATGCTATTAAATAAGATGCTTCTTCATCCTAATAATAAAGTTAGAAAGCATCATAAATAACCGTCCTTGCTTATGATGGTTGGATTCCTTACGACTTCTAGCTTAGTATTTTCGACATACATGAAACTTTATGGGTAGTTCTGAAGCAATTATGTGATTTTGTTGATATTCAGGTAGTGGCAATGTCTTATGATGACGGTTATTCCATATGATGATTTCTAAATTTATTACTTCTCCACACTAATAAATCATCATAAAGAAAGACCGTCATCATAAAATACTGTCGCAACCTCAAGATCAACAAAATCATAACATAATTACTTCAAAAAAGCTCATAAATTTTCATGATTTTGAAAGTTTTCAGTTTAAAAAACTTTCCAAACTAATGGACTGCGATTCTGCTATGAAAATCAGTTTCACTTATTCCAGCTCACATTTTTACAGTTCGATCTGATAAATTACGTTGCACTCTAATAGTTCTACTACCCCTTTTGGCCCTCTTTAATCTTTAATAAAAAATAATAATAATAATAAATAAAATAAAATAAAGTCACGGTCCTGTGATATTAATAACACAAAAGTTATGGTTATTTTGGTAGTTTTAAGTTTGTTGCAATCTCATATTCAACATTAGAGTTTTTTTTATTTTTAAAACTAACATCTTTATAGTATTGAGTGTCGAGCAGTGCCGACAATTAAGATTTCAAAATTTTAATCTGAGGAAGTTGTCTTGTATAGGGAATATTCGAAATCCATTCAGTATAAAGTAGTCTAGGACTTATTTCAAAGCTTACAATAATTTGAATATCTAAAATTTCTCTATAGTGTGCACTGTAATGAAATTCGAGAACTTTTTAATGATTTCTCCTTTCAGAATACAATTAGGCAGTCACAATGTGGTGGTTCTTTGCGATTTCCAGTCAATAAAAGATGCTTTTGCAAGCGACGCTTTCATGGGAAGACCTGCTGACCTCCCTTTTGAACTCAGCGAAGAAAGCATTCGTAATTAATACAGTTTGTTTGCTTATACTTATTTTTTGGACCATAAAATTTATTCTTAGAATTGTATAGTATCATTGATACATACAATGTAAAAATTAACTTAAATAAGAATAACATTGCAGACGCGAGTCTAACGGGAATTCAGTACAACTATCGCTAGAGAATTTATTTCAGTTGCTGCCATTCTCATCACCCTTCTTTCGATAAAGCAGTTAAACTTCTCAGTGTACAACTGGTGCTTCTAGCATAACAACAGCACTGATAAAAATTGATCTGGTTCCAGTGCAGCTTCATTCAGCAATATATGTGATTCTTATTTGTAATTTTTTTTCTTTTTTTTTTTTAAATTTCTTTATTTATTATTACACTACATAAAGTTATTTTCCTCATAATAAGTACATCATACTCTTAATAACAAAGTTATTTTCCTCATAATAACGCTGCACAAAGTTATTTTCCAATTTTTTCCCTCAATGATGCGTAATAAATATTTATGAATAGTATATGAAAAACTACTTTTTTAAATTATAGATGATATTATTCAAATTTTTAACTTTTTTTTTTTTTTTAATTTCCTTCTTTCTTCCTTTTTTTTAATATTTGTAAGAGTAAATTTTTACATTCACCATATTATCGTCTGCTACTTTACTTTAACTGCATTTAAATTGAAATGTTTAAGAAAGTTCGTTAGATGTTTATTTTCACAATGTTTTTTAGCAAACAGGACGTTGAGAGTTTGGGTCATGTCCTAGCTTTAAATACATATATATATATATATATATATATATATATAGATATATTTACATTAATTCTCTTAGAAAGAATGTTTTTAAGTAGCTAATTTTCTCTCGTATTATAGATTGCATAAAAGACATGATCTTTAGTATAATTTAGATTGTTTTAGCCGATATAAGAATCGGGTTACTCGGTGGTGAAGAATAAACACTGCTGGACTGTTTTATTTCTTTGTCATTTAGCAAAAAATCTTTTAATTAAAATATTTATCCTTTGGACTTTGCTCTATACTTTGTTTATAGTTAAAATGTCTAGAAAATGAAGAGCTGTCTTCAGCCGAAACGCAATTGATGTAATTGATATTTTAAAAAATTTGACAAGAATGCAAAATTTATGGAAGTGTAACAATCGAAAAATCTTAATTTTCTTGTGGTGAGCACCGAAAACAAATGTAGAAGGAAAGAAGAAAATTAGGGAGAAAAGTAAGTAAAACTTTAAAGCGGAATTTGGCTGTCAGAAATCCCAAGGCGTTTCGAAAAGTTGGATGCTTTTGAATATACTTTCAGAATACTACAAGGAATTTAGGTGTTCAAAGAGAAAACACTTGGACGTGTACACCAGCAAATACCATCAATTGAGCTTGTGGCTAACGGAAAAGACAAAAACGATATCATTGCAGATTAAAGTGAAGAACGGTTGGTTTCCGCCTATATGTTGTATAAATTTAAATTACCTTATAGAACATCATATTATCTTAAACGGAGAATCCCATGATTTCTTAGTCGAATTATTTGAATATTCAGGAATTTATCCAGTGATGTATTGTGGATGTCACCTAAAGACGTTTTCCCTCTTGATGAATCTAGTCTTTCCTTTTATCTCATGTCTTCAAAATGCTTAGCCTCTAATGACTGGTAAAGGCTATAACCAAATACTGAAGAAATGGATTGAATTGGATTATTAAGTTACGTGAAAGCAGGGCTATCTGCCTAAAAGGAGGGATGCCTTCGTTAAGAACTTTCTAAGAGAAACCAGCTGGAATACACGTTACAATGAGAAAAACGAAAACATTCATGCAACCAGCCAGTTCGGCGGGATTCGAACCCCTGACGAACTATCAGTGTTTAGCGACTTTACCGCTCGGCCGTTTGTGGGTCTTTATGAAATGGAAATCGATAACTTTATTTAAAATGAATGTCAGAAATACCAAGATGTTTCGAAAAGTTGGATGCTTTTTAATATACTTGCAGAATGCCTGAAGAAAACCAACAAGCCATTAAGAAGAAAAAAATAAATTTTCTCATAAAATTTAGTATTTTTTTAATTTAAAACATTTTAAACTTATGATATTTGATTCTTGCGATATCAAAAATAAAATATTTGACTAAAGTATGAATAACACTTTAAGAACGATAAAATTGTGTAAAGCAATGAGCACAATGATAAAGCTGTTTAAAGCAATATATGCAAGTTGTCCTAAGTTAAAATGTCGGTTATACATCTTTCTCATTTATATATCTTTTCTGAGCGGAACATTGAAAGGCGTGTTAACTGCGCTTTACTGTATTTTCTCTTTTAATATATGCAGTTTTGAAATGCATCGTAGTCTGCGGGTCACAAAGTATTCTTCCGGAAGAAATGCAATTCAAATAAATAAAATCAAATTCTGGAAAATTTATATTAATAAATGTATTTCAAATGCTCAGTTCGAATAAATAAATAGAAAATTTTAAAACAATTATCTGAAAAAACAATGCAATACAAACAATTTAAACAAAAGTTTAAAAATTTAAAAATTGCCTAAAATAATAACTATGACAAAAAAAGTCATAAAGAAAACTATTTTAAAAAATTATCGCTGCACCTTTTATTTAAACTAAAAATTTATTTAAACGCAGTTCGAATCGTTAAATAAAAATTTTTAAAACAGTTATTCGAAAGAAACCATTCAACTTAAACAATTAAAATGAAATTCGAAAAAGAAAAAATTACTTAAAATAATAACAATTATAATTAAAATATAATATAAAGAACATTATTTGAAAAAAGGAGGTTATTGTAACCTTTTTCCTCGCTCACATTCAATGTAAAAATGGAAAGGAAAATATGTTGCCATATATTAAGAATTTGCCAAGTGAACTATTCTTGGCGCAAACTGAAAGAAAAGCGCCAACATAAATTTGTTAATTTCTCTGTAAATTTCGCAACAAATTTTACAAAATTTCATATTTAGGCATAATTTGAGTCGTAGAATCAAAATATGGAAAAACTTTATATGTTATTTCAGAAAAAGTCCGATTTAGTGTCAAAATACCTATGTTGGAATAGAGCTACATATATGTAAATCTAATATATATCCTAAGTCGCGCTTTCGAAAAATGAAAAACGGTATTTTAATATCGTCAATCGGCCCAGTAGAACGGGAGGTATACTAAAACTGTCCCCCCTCTTTTTTTTTTTTTTTTTTCCCGAAATGTACGTTTTCAGATGCCTTGAAAATGGTTTGTAAAATAACTTAATGCTTTAAGCTATTTCATTAATTCAAATTTATACTGATTAAAATTAGTCTTTGAGAACAAATACCAGATCATCGATTTTAGAAGATTATAGACAAATCATATATGTTTACAGAAATGCTCTAAAAGAGTGGCTACAGTCTTTGGCTTTATGAAAAGTGACATAAGATATATATACTTGAAATTATAAAGAAGGAAACTTTATGGTAATTTCTCTTTTTCATCTCAAGAGGCCCACCAGCGGCCGAGCGGTAAAGTCGCTGAACACTGGTAGTTCGGTCCGAGGTTCGAATCCCGCGAACGGGCTGGCTGCATGGGTGTTTTCGTGGTTTTCCCCATGTGTAACGTGTATACGAGCCAGTTTCCCTTAGAAAGTCCTCCACGAAAGGCATCCCTCCCCTTAGGCAGATAGCCCTAGTGTGCTTTGCCGTAATTAAAATACACACACACATACACACACACTTTTCATCTCAAGATTTCTGAAAAGCAAAAGAGTAGAATTACGAGATATCTATTTATTAAATGCGCGTGCTCCTGTATTTTTACTTTTTCGGCGTACCTTTCTCTTAAAAATCGTCACGCGCTGCATTGCACGGGGAAATGAAACAATTTTAATTACAATTCTACTAAAAATAGCAAACTAAATACAAAAACCGTAACAACACCTATGTTTATTGCCATATTGTTACCCAAAACGTTTTATTGCATTGTAAGTCAATTAGAATGTGTTGGATATTAGTTGATAGATATATTTGATGACAGCATATGGAATGACATGATGTTCAATATAGTCGCAAACTATGCTTATATGCAAACTGTTGTATGAATTCCGATAAATATTTCCAGCCCTTTATAAATATATATTAACGATTTATTTTCATATGTATATTTTAATAAACTGCGATGTCTTTTCATTTTTATTTTAGGTACCGGAGCATTCTTAGATCTTCCATGGAAAGAACAAAGGAGATTCTCCTTGCATATGCTTCGTGATCTTGGATTCGGTAAAACGCGCATGGAGGAACATATAAAAGTAAACTTTTTTCCCTATCAATAACTGCATGTATACGTGTTCATAGTTAATTACTTTTAATATTAAAACAGAACATTTTTCCACTGTTAGTCCGGTTGTTACCTGATAAAATTTGATTTTCCGATAAAATAAAATAAAAGACTAGATTATAGCAAAGCAACGTGACGGTTATCTGTCTAAGGGTAGGGATGCCTTCTTAGGAGACTTTTAAACGAAATTGACTCATTGTATATATATGTTTACTTATGCTTATACATGAGAAAAACCGCAGAATCTTTCGTGCAGCTAACTCGCTAGCCGTAATTTTGTGTCTAATTTGAACTACTTGAATTTAGCGATTTTACCGTTCAATAGCTGGTGAGCGAGAAATATCTTATAAGGTTCTAGTTAATTCACGTGTCCTTGGTTACTAGAGCTTTTATGGGAGTGTCTAGAGACTATATGCTTGTCTCCTTACAGCTACAAAATATAAGAAGGGTTAAAATAACCTTTTATTCACTCAATTAATAACAGTCGGCCCCTTCTCGAGCTTACAGGAAAAACTCCACTTGAGAACTTAAGATGCAAAATAAGAAACTAAACTAATTCTAACAAGCTAAATTTTAGCTAAAGCTGCATTATGGGCCAACTCAGTTACTAACCGAATCTTTCGTGCAGCTAACCCGCTAGCCGTAATTTTGAGTCTAATTCGAACTACTTGAATTTAGCGATTTTACCGTTTAGTAGCTGGTGAGCGAGAAATATCTTATAAATTAATAATTAAACCTCAATGGCGAATACTAAGAAGTTCTAAGCTTCTCTACTGAAGTTCCAAATGTCGCTGTATGCCGCGATTATTATTAACGCGATTATTGTGCCCACAACTTATTCCTGCTATCATTAGTTTGATGCCTAGACTGGTGCTTCAGGTAGAGGAATGCATGACTTTGGGTCTAGAAGACAGCATAGAAGGTGCAGGTGGGAATGTGACCGGTTATCACGTGAGTAGCAAAGACATCTGGTAAGTCAAGGCGTATCCAAAGCAGAGCATTTAGTAAAGTTCAACAAAAGATGGCTTCACTTAATCATAAATGCAATTCGTTGGTCACGTGATGAGCGTCCATAGCATTGAAAATTTCTCCAATGGTCTCTCATGGAGAAATAATTGCAATTTTAAAACACAAATTTAAATAAATAAGTAGGTAAGAACACAGTGAGATACAGAATAAACTGCTTGAAACTCACTGGAAAGGTTCCTTGCAATAATGAGCATTACAAGAGATGGATAGAAGGAGAAAATATAGACCACCATCAGCTTCATAAATCAGAAACGAAAAATTTTAATAAAAAGAAACTAAAGTAAAAATTTTCTTTCTTGACCTATGTAGTAATTGACTTTAAAACAATTTTTTATATTACTTGTTTCTCCTAATGACAAGCAGCTGGGAATTTTGTGTATTGATGGAGATTTTCCGATTTTTGCACCAATCTTGGATTATCGGAATGTTTTCCTGCAGTTTCTAAATTGCATGGTTTATATTAACAGACTTGTCTGCCTGGGCAGTGTCATCTGCATAATATGTCAGCATTTAACTATGATAGTAATGCATTTGTGGGAAGTAGAGAACGGGCCCAGTTACTGACCCTTGAGGTACCTTAGCTTGAATTTTACTTTCCGTGGAATATGAGCCTTTCACGAATAATTTAAAATTTATATTTTTCAAGAAGGAAAGAATAATCATGATGACTTTTCTCACAAAGTTCAAGTTGATGAGTTTGTGAATTAGATTCTCATGGCATACGCGTTCGAAAGCTTTCGCTACATCTAGCATGAGAATCACTACATAAAGATTCGAATGCAGAGCAGCACCAGCGAATTCAATGAGCCTAAGCAGCTGTTTCATGGTTGACAATTTCTTACGAAACCCGAACAGTTAGAGAGAGAGAGAAGAGTGAAGTGATGTTTGATTCCAGCTAAAATGAGTCTTTCTAAAATATTGCCTAGACTTAATGAAAGGCTGATAGGCCTGAAGCCATCAGGCTTGGAGCAGTCCTCGCCAGGTTTTAGAAGCATGATGATTTTCGCAGTTTTCCAAGTAGTGGGAAAGTAGTCCACTGGAAGTGACTTTATTTTCCCAACAAATACTGGTTCTACTTTTACATAAAAAAAGCGATACTGAAACCTTCTCCTGGTAGGGAGTTGTGGGTGGAAAACAAAAATTTAAAGGAAAGGGTTTGAAATTTATAATAAATATTATAAAATTAAAATAATCCTTAGAAGCTATGGCGCACAAGGTAAGCTCCCTACGCTACACAAGATTGTAAATTTATAAGACTACCTATCTGAAATTTTAGGAATTTTGAATCTACTCATGCATATCATGTTAATGCGCAGCATTTGTTGGCTACATTTGTAAGAATACCTACTCAGCTGTTTTGAGCCTTGACTCGGTTAAAAGCTGCAAAAATGAATAGGCAAATAAACAGAAATTTCTCGAAAGATGAATTAAAGTTAATTTTAAATTCCTATTTCTTTAGTCAATTTTCTCAGTGCTAGATAAATTTGGAACTAAATCACATGCATAACGTTTTCACAAATGTTGAAGATGTACACTTTTTTCTCTGTCTAGATAACAATATAAAATTCTCCTTAGTTACCTAATGCATGTCTAGACGACTATGAATTTAAAATTTAAAGAATAATCTCTATAATCTTTCAGGTAAAACTTGGTTGAACCATTGCATAAAGTAAATATGTACTGAAAATATTTTCGAAAATTTAATATATTTCTTTAACTGATTTCTATAAGATTGAATTCTTTGGTACCTAGTAAAAGTGATTTCATTAAATTTAACTTTTCAAAATATTATGCTCGAATATATTTAAAAATATTATAGGTGTTTTCACTTTAAAAATTACGTAGAAAAAAAACAAAATTCTGTAATAATACTATTAAAATTAAATTAAACAGCCTTTACCTTAAACTATTACCTCTGAATTATTGTTACAAATGTATGCAACGGTAAATAAGTATTATAAACGTTATAACGTAAAAATAACTTAGTGCAGTACGTAATAACACCCAACATTTTTTCGGTTTATATAAAAATTAACTCAGCAATCGTGATCTCATGACACTGTGAGTTTTACCTTTTTAGTTATTAGAACTGTAATTACTAGTAGCAATAGAGCATCATGCTTAGAAGTTGTCGAAAAGTTAAGCAGTGAGATTATTCATAGCAGTAAAGTAGCAGCAGTAATAAAAAGCAGCAATATGAATACTGAAGTTAAAACTAACCAAATTAATCAAAAGTTGTGCTTGATGTGCCTCTTTAGTGTAAAGCTGATCCAATATAAGTGTAATATTCCATTTTATTATCTACTAAATGATGAAGTCTTATATGAGAGGTTCTCCGCTTAGTTTATAGTGTTAAGTTCTACAGGTTCATGGATTTCGAGTAATTAATGATAACAACAGTTTATAGAGAATCAAAACATAATGTAGTCGCCTGTAAGCACTATTATATAGGACAGTTTGAAAGATACGTTTATCGTCGTCGGTAGAGTACTACAAACACTCTGAAACAATCAGCAACACAGCCTAAAGCCAAAGCACTAAAATACAGCTCTCGACTCAGTCAATCACTCACAAGCTAATCTCTGAACTCAAGACATCCCACCAGCGGCCGAGCGGTAAAGACGCTGAACACTGGTAGTTCGGTCCGAGGTTCGAATCCCGCGAACGGGCTGGCTGCATGGGCGTTTTCGTGGTTTTCCCCATGTGTAACGTGTATACGAGCCAGTTTCCCTTAGAAAGTTCTCGACGAAGGCATCCCTGCCTTTAGGCAGATAGCCCTCGTGTGCTTTGCCATAATTGAATAATCCAATCCAATCCTGAACTCAAGACGCTAATTTCTCCCCGTACGGGCAACCCTACCTTCCACAGTATTTTCTAGCAAATCGCTAAGAATGCGTTCTAGAATGCTCTCGCTCCGTCTATGGTATATCGCCAATTTTGTCGCCAAAAATCGCAAAATACATGATTTCGCGCTAACTCTGGCAACTCTGTCTTTGACTGCCACTTTCTGGCAATCCTAACCTAGCTTTGCGGAGAAGCTATCTCACCGCTTAGCTGCTGGGCATTTCTCGACAATAACTATTCGCAATAATAATTTTCGCAACAATAGCTATTCAAGAATGTTGTTTGCGTATAATAAAATGAAAGCAAGAACGGAAGGTATTGCCGCTGTAATAAAAGATGATATTTTCTTCTTTTTTATTGCAATACTGCTTGGAAAGAGTAGACTAAGCATTGCAGCATGTTTGAAAATCTAGCACAACCTGTCACAAAATGAAATTATTTAACGGATTTACAACAGGTATACATTTCTGAACGAAACGAATAAATTAAATATTTTTATAGGTATTGATAATTTGTTACAGAATATATTTCTAATTTATTAGCTTCGCGATTCATTGATATATAATTGAAATTTATCTCAACAGTTGCCCTGGGGATAGAGTGCGTCATTTAGACATCATTTTGATAGAGACATCATTTTGTAGCTCATCACAAAATATGACACTTTAATGGCCTTTTGGAAATATGTAACATTATTTTGTGTAGAATCTTTCTAAATTGCCTGTAATGCAAATTTAAATTTTAAATCTTCGTAGTATGAAAGCATGTCCGGTTAGGAAACTTAACGTAATATATGGTGTTACTGAAATGTTTATCTTTTCGTCTATCATAACGATAAAAATTTCAAAGATTCTACCAGTATTACTTTTCTAGGAGGAGATTTTAGAACTGCTTCAGCGCATAGAAGACTACCACGAATCTCCTGTTAAAATTGGAGAGTTGTTAACCCCAAGTATGTCAAATAACATTGCCTCACTCATATTTGGTAAGAGACTCAAACCCGACGATCCTAAGAGGATAAAACTGGATAAGCAGTTGAACGAAGTCGACTTGCTGGTACGCTTTTCTGGCAGATCTTTTTCCCTTGGATCAGAGCTTTCATGTCATTCTTTAATCTCGGCAACAAAGGAAAACTATCAAGAGCCCTATCGGAAGTGAAGAGATATTGTAGGTATGTGATAATTTTCATAAACGGTTTGCATTTGGTTTATAAGGCATGTTAGTGCTATCTTCCCTAAGGCAAGGGATGGCTTAGTTGAAATTTGGTTTGTATCTACTTTACACATGGGAAAAAACCTAAAACGCCCGTGCAGCTACCCGTCCGTCTGGAATCGAAACCCAGGTCGAAGTACAATTGTTCAGCGATTTTTCCGCTCGTCAATTTGTGAGCACTATTTTCACAAACGAGTAATTTATTCTGTATGCTATACCATCATTAACCGTAGATATATGTACCTATTATATATATAAATGAATGTTTGCTTGCTTGTTTTTTATACAAATATACAATTTAATTCCGATCTTTATGAAACTTGTCACCCTCGACCTTCAAGCGAGAGGATGGTCACTGTGTACATAAAATTTCTCAAAACCCAGTCAGTAAGGTCTGCACTCTTTATATAAATAGATTTTAAGCTACTTTAATGAATTTTGAAAAAACATTCAGCGATTTAAAAGCTTTGCGTTGCCTCTCTGCAAAGTGTTAGATACGTATGTTTCAAATTTAATCCGAAAACTCGGCGATGTAAAAAAAAATTATGTTGCCACACTGGAAAACGCAATTATATTAATTTGTCTCAAATATAATAAGCAAACTCTGCTAATTAAAACAAATATATTTCTACTGCCCAAATTATCCTTCAGCAAGGCGTAAAATATTTAAATTTTCATTTCAAATTAACGTTCGCGTTATTGCATCACATGCATTTTCCTTGCTTTTTGAAAGTGAATTTGTAATATTCGCAGCTGTTTTTTTTTTTTTTTTTTTTTTTTTTTTTTTTTTTTTTTTTAAATTTCTAAGCTGTTGAACTACAAAAATATAGATTTTAGCAAAAATGTTATGCTCAAAGAAGGAAAATACCTAACGGCACCTTTAAAATCGTATTACGTCTTTCGAAACCCTTCATAGATTATTCGCTACTTTTATTTTATGTTCCAAACGTCAAAATGTTTTAAATAAAATAAATCTAATTACTTAAATGTATCTACATTTATAATGATTATAAATATTATCAAAATACATATAACCTTAACATTGAATTGTAAACATAAATTGAAATACTGTTGACATATAGGTTTAGAAAACTATTTAAGCAAGAATTGTTCCTACTGGAAATCAATCTGTTAAAATGTATATCAAAGCAAATTTTATGAGATGCGTACTTAAGGAAGTAATAAAGTAGAGTTTTAGAATATGTATTGATGAAATTAAGGGTAAAAAAAAGAATTATTCCCTTACATTTTATAATAACGCAGTTACGAGTTTTAAATAATATTTTTTTTAAAAATCCTTTTTTTTTATTCACTTTCAGAAATATTCAGAGAAAATTAAGTACATGGAAATGAGCACCAATATTTGACGCATTTCATTATTAAAATAGAAGCTGCTCTAATTTGAAATGGACCGAATAGAACATTAATTATAAATTTACTTTATCTAAGTAAATTTCGGTTTAAAAGATGCCTCAGAAGCTAAAAAATCATGTCATGTTTGAGAACGTATTTTAAGATGAAGCTATATAAATAGAAAAGAAATAATGCATAATTTTAATATTAATAATATACATGATTAATGTTAATGGCAGGTCATTAATAATATTAAAATTACTTTTTTATAAGTTAATTAATAATATTAAAATTACTTTATTACTTTGATCTTAATTTTTGTAATCCTTAGCTGAATAAAATCGAATTACCCTAAAATATTTTTCTCATGTAATTAACGAAAAAAATTGTGAAAATATTTCATTCAAATTAAAACATTCTGAGCAAACTGTTCCGTGAAAATATAGCATTTAATTCCGTTCAGGATGAAATGTTGTTTAAAAATGTATTATTTTCACATACTTAGGTTTCTGAAATATTGTAGAAAAAGAAACGATATACATTTATATGTATATTTATGACGTTATTACTAAATATTTACATCCGATCGTGTCAAAACCCAATTATGTTAATGTAAGTCACTGAATGTTTTGGTCATCGCGAAGGGATCGCAAGTGCTTCAAAGTAGTGTATGGGGAAAACCGGTTAGGACCTCTCCTTCTTACTTCCTACCGCCCTGATTGCTACCATCTGCGATGGTTTGTTGTCTCACTAAAAAGTATGGGCAAACGCTGCAAAGTTTTTGTGAAACTCTGGGATAGTCACACTCCTTATATGTAAGTTTTGTTTGCTGGTTTCTAACTTTAAATATCAATTTGTTTATTACTCATCTGATTTCATCCTATAATTCACAAAATTATATATTGTTTCCATCTTCATAAATAATGCTTGTTTTATTTCATGCATAAACACATTTGATACCTCCATTACAATCTGGTATTAATCAAAGATTTGCTTTTCCATCTTTGCTGATTTTACCGTTCGCATGCTTACATTCTGGAAGCCACTGTATGTGTTGTATAAATTGATTAAAAATGAACAGTAAAAGGAATAAACGTACAATATTGAAGTAGTGTTTCTAAAAGGAAATATGAAGAAGTGTTTAAAAAAGATAAATAAACAAAACTGAAAGCTGAAGTAATTTACCGTAATAGAAAAATGCTAACATTCATAATAATTATAAAATTCTAGTCTTCATTGTAAATTCATATAGCAATGAAACAACAACAAAATATAATAATAAACTGATTAAAAATGATGAATAGTGAAAGGAATAAACATATACTATTGAAGCAGTATTTGAAGTTTGTTAATGCTATTCCTATTAAACCAACCAATTTCGCTTTATCTAATCATTTTATTTTTTTCAGGGAGGAAATAGAGGAACATGAAAAGACATTAGATCCATCTAACTTACGCGATTTTATGGACGGATATTTACTAGAGATTAAAAAAAGAGCTGATGACCCTGACACTTTTTGAAATATAATATCTGTTAACCTCTCATTTTTTTACCACATTACACTCTATTTTACACATGCATTCCTAAATGTTCGATTTATGTTTCGGTAATATCATTTAATCATACGTGGTGTTGATGCAACGTATATACACGAAATCGATAGCATTCCTGGGTGACGTTTTACGCAATATGATGTCATAAAGAGTTTTTAGTTTTTAACCAGAAATTACAAGTTCTGTTGCAGTTTATTCACTTAGAATAGGAAGTACAATATAGTACAAAGAACGTACAAAAATAACACGTCCTTATATATTCTATTTTGCCGAAGATATAGTTTTCGATCATAAGTAAGGATGGAACCATTAAAATAATTATAGTATTTCCATACTTTTAACCCTTATCCACCTTAAAATAATATTACACTTTTTTCGTAGCGCGGCCTCAGAGACGGATCATATAAATTGTTTTAAAACACTGCTTTACACAATATCGCTTAAAAGAAACAAGATGTTGAATTACGAGTTCTGAATCCAGGTATTCCGAATTTGCAATCAGATATTTCCGTCAAATCTGAATTTAAATGGAAACATTCAAGGCATTAGATACGGAATTTGAAAATTGATTGAGCATTTTCGTTTAAAATAAATTCCAGCCAATACAGCAGATATGCTTTTATTAGTTTTCAAACTGGAATGAGACACTTGATTTTTTTCATAAAGAATATATTAAGTCTCCTGCTTACTTTATTCTTTCGATAAACTGCAGTGCGACTAAAATTGAATATTATTGCATTCTTCATAATTCTTCTTCTTGTAAAAACGCAACTTGCAGAAAAACATTATTATTTTAAAATTTTTATCATTCAGAAGCGGTTCTTGCTGATTTGTCAAGAGCATTCTTCGGTGCCGGAAGCGAGACAGTTCGTGTGTCTGTGGAATGGATTCTGCTTTTATGTGTTGCTTTTCCAGAAGTGCAGATAAAAATCCAACAAGAAATCGACGATGTCATCGGACGAGAACGATTTCCAACTAGAGCAGACAATCTGGAGATGCCTTTCACAGAGGCTGTTATTCTGGAGGTGAATAGATGGAAAACAATTGCGCCTCTGAATCCAATGAGATAGTAAGTTGCTTGATGTTTCATTTTTTTGAAAATAAACTTTATATAAGGAAGAAATAAATATATAGCTAGTGATTCATATAATGTTTGAAATTTTTTTGTATATGTAATAATATGAACTGGATAGTCCTAAATTATAAAATAATGCATATAATTTTACGATCATTGACCTCTTTTTTTAAACAAGTACAGTTAGAAAGAGCTTATGAGCAGGGGCTTGATTCAACCAATCTTGAGTCCTTTGTATAGCGTTCCCCCAGTGCTCTTTCTTTGCTTTTCTTCCTCCTATAATAAAAGATCTCCTGGTGCTACCTCTTGGGACTCCAGGGAGCTTTTGCTGTAGTTAGAGCAGGATGCGGAACACATGTCTGTTTACTTCTGTTAGACACCAGGCGTTCCAGTCCTCCGTAACCTATCTACCTATTATAAAATCAGACCTTGATTTATAGATAAATCTCCTTCAGCTAATTCTCGACTATCTGGTATTTCGTTTCTTTCGATGCATTGCCAAACACCATTTTATCTGCGATACCATTTTGGCTAGAATCTTCAGTCTTTTAAATAATATTTAAAGAACTCTACAAATAAAAGCAAACTCCAGATTAATTTACTAATCAATTTGCTTTGCTTTAATGGACTTCTGTAGAGGCTAATTTTTCAAATCATACTTTCAGGTAATAACTTGAAATATACTTAGAATTTCATACAGACAAATACATCTAATTTCTTACTTATTTCTTTTCATCGTTTCAAAACTAAAGTACAATTTAATCTATCTTTGCAGTCCCATGTCCATGCACATAATAAAATTTAGCCTCTTAAGCAAAAATTATTCTTTTGAATGTTTTCCTAATATTTTCGAAACAAAACCCATTCCTAATAGAGGTAAATGCATAAGTGTCGGAATGCTATAATTCTCGACTATCTGGCATTTCGTTTCATTCGATGCATTGCCAAAAACCATTTAGCCTAACAGCTTCAGTCTTTTAAATATTATTTAAAGAACTCGACATACGAAAGCAAACGCCAGATTAATTTACTAATCGATTTATTTTGCATTTAATGGACTTCAGTAGTGGCTAATTTGTTAAATCAGTTCCGAAAACATTTTTTCCTGCAAGAATTTGAAATACGTTTAGAATTTTATACTGAAAAATACATCTAATTTCCTATCGGTTTCTTTTAATCCTTTCGAAACTGAAGTACAATTAAATTTATCTTTGCAGCCACATAAAATAATAAAATTTAGCATCTTAAGCAAAAAATATTCTTCCGAATGTTTTCCTAATATTTTCGGAACAAAATTCATTCCTAATAGAGGCAAACGATTTTAAGGAAATAAATAAAACTTATTAAAAGTTTAAAGTTAATAAAATAATTATAAATATCTAAATACTATTTCGATATTTTATACATCGGTTTTTTCTACGTTTGTACGATACTGACGCTGTATTTATTTCCGTATTTTAGTTACATAGCTTGTAAGATTCTAGCTAAATTAAAGTTTACTTTTGCTGGTTGATCTTTACTTGAACTGTGAAGCGACTATTTGCTAAATTCTTCTGTATGACTGACAAGGCGTACGAAGGGTGAAAAGGCCCTTTCATTCAACTCAAGAAAGAATTTACAGTGGGCATCCCTGATGCGTACAAACTCAGGCAATGCTTTTGTCTGTAATTCAACAGGAATATAAGATTAAAACTAATCTTAAATAATCAGCCAACCCTGCAATACGTGTTTTGCAGGGTTCAACAATACGTGTTTTAATTTAATATACACGTTTTCTGTAATGAATTCTGGCTTGGAATATATCAGATAAAAATTAAGAAATCTTATAATGGAACAAAATTTGAAATTTTAAAAATTGTATGAGGATGAAGCATGCAATACATTTTAATATTTGCATATAATAAAATAATTCTACTATTTAAAACGTAAAATTCTAAATTAATTAATATTTCAGATCTCACTAATTGTATAGCATCTTATTTTACCACAATCGTTATCAAAGGTAGTTTTTTCCGCTAGGGGATCTATTTTAATATCTACTAATTAATAACTACAGGTATCAATTGGTATTATTATTATTATTTAAAATTAAATTAATTAAATTATTATTATTATTAATAATTAATTAAGTATTAAAGTAAAAATAACACGCCAAATAATGATTATTAGAGATGCTAATGCAGCAGTAATCAAAGGTAGTTTTCTTAAATTTGCAGCAATTTCATAGATTTTCTGAAAGTTACCCCTGATTTCTTTTCTCTTAATATCTCTAATAATAATGTTAACTGACATGTTTAATTATTGCATCTTTCGGTTTTTTCCTACCGCTAGGTTTAGTTCCTCGCGTCATTCTGTCGATGTTGTTTTCAATTCATAATGTTCAATTGATATTGTATATGAACTTCCTTATATTTACAGTATTATCATATTGAAAATAAAAGAATATATTTAATTTTTACTCAATGCAGATAATCATTTCAAAAGTAATTTATCTGGATATCATCCCAAAAGACTGAAACAAGTATTCTAACCACTTACACTACGAGATTTAGCACAAAGGAATTCTTTCATATCTGAAACCGCTGTTTTAGACCTTCAGACTTCCATGAGTGTTAACTACGAACATGTGTGTCTATTATAACTGATCCCAAGCATAGGTGACACTGACAGTCGTTTAGGACACCTAACTGAGGAGGATACCTATTAAGTTGTTTTCATAACGACACATAGTAAAAATGTATTTTGCTTTGAATTATTAATAGGTTAAACTTATATAGGCTACCAACTGTACAGATCGCTGAAAATCCTGGACGCTGGCTTAATACGATAATTCTTTACAGCTGTATGCCAATATACCCTGTACCATATTATTTTAGTACAAACTGTTAAGGCACGTATTATAATATTTTATTCAGTCATAATAATAAATCAAATATTTAGAAAATCTTACATAAAAACGATCTAACTTTTTACCTACTTTGCTTTAAAGCAATCCAACGCGAAATTCAATTGATTTCTTTTGTCACATTTTTGTCACTTTTTTTTAAGTCCAAAGGGGCTTTGTCACTGAAAAACTATTGTTTTCGTTTTGCGATTTTGCGTTGAAAACATTAATAGGCTTTATCACTTTTCAGATCATGGCCACCATATATTTATTATCGTCCTGCATTATATTTGAGATATTAAAATATGAAGAATATGCATAAATGTATGCAAGTTTCTGAAAATAAATTCCAAATTGCATAGTATGTTTGTTGTACACTGATGGAATAAATTAAGAGAATTTGCATATTTTACGGAATTGCATGAAAAGAACTGGACTCGAAAAACCACTGTTTCTAGATACAAATGCAAATCTTGTACGGCAAATACATAAACATACACGTGTGTATGAAGGTCTAGGCGGAGCCAGCAGAAAAACAGGCTTTATATGCGAGTGAAGGGTAAGACGAACAGCGTTCGCTAGCACACCTCGGCTAATTTCTTGGTATTATCTTGCAGCAATTGGTTAAATTCACATCGGAACAGTAAAAATGAGTAACCACTAACGTTTAAATGATAGAATGAAAGGGCGAATACTAAAGAGGTTAGAGACTGGCCAATCGCAATTCCAGATATGCAGAGTTTAATTTAAGGCAGAGTTTAATTTATATGCAGAGTTTAATTTTGATAAGTTTATTTAACGCCCACCGTCGTGTGTAACTTATGGAAACAGTTCGAGGATACTGGATACATCGAGAAAAGACTAAGCAAGGTCGTCCAAGAGCCATGACGTTCAGAGAAGATCGCTATTTGTCCATTTTAGCGAGGCGTAGCAGAGGGGCTACAGCTTCTCAGTTGTCTCAGGACCTGTATGCAGCCACAGAAACCCGTGTAACAAGGGTGACTGTTTCCACCCTTGTTACACCCTATTCCATCCTTGTTGAATGGGAGAGGGTTTTTTGCCAGAAGTCCGCTGTTTGCGTCTCGCTCACGTCTACGAACAGGAGGTTCCGATTAGCATGGTGCAGGTAGCATAGTGATTAGAGTACGGAACTATAGGCGACCTTTCTGTTCACCGACGAGTCCCCTCTTAGCCTAAACACCGATTATCGCCGTATTTTCATATGGAGAGAACCAGGGACTCGCTACCTACCCTCCAATGTCCGCGAAATCAACAATTATGGCGGTGGCGGTGTAATGGTCTGTGCAAGCATCATGTTGGATGACTGCGCACCTCTCCACGTCTTTGAACAGAGGATCTGTGACTGGTATGAGGTATAGGGATGAGGTCGGGGAGCCCTATATTAGTCTTTTCCAGGGTGCATGTGAGCCCCGACTTCATCTTACAGGACGATAACGCGAGGCCACATACAGCTCTTCTGATCGACGAATTTCTCGAGAGTGAGGATATTCGCCGAATGGATCGACCAGCCTGGTCCCCAAACCTTAACCTACAGAGCATGTCTGGAACGCTCTGGGTAGGTCAATTGCAACTCGCCCTCCTCCAAGAACCATACAGGACATCCTCCGAGAACCATTCAGGAACTAAAAACAGCGTTGCTGAATGAGTGGGACCAATTGCCACAAGCACTGATAAACTGCCTTATTTCCAGTATGACATCACGCTGCGAGGCCTGTATGTCTGTAAGAGGGGACTATACCCCCTATTAACCCATTTCTTTTGTGTCTTCTGCAACCGCTGTTTTAGACCTTCAAACTCCCATGAGTGTTGCACACGAACATGTGTGTCTATTATACCTGACGAATATTTATTTTGTTTGTATTATATCAACCTATGTTCACACCAAATTTTATTAAAATCTGTTCAGTAGTTCTGGAGATCGTAGATCAAACATGAAAATTCTCTTAATTTATTTCACTAGTGCATGTTTCTCTATCAGGTTCAGTGTTCCTCCTTACTTGCTTGGGGAACATTCAATGACCTGACTCGGAACATGAGCTTCTAAGCTATTTAATAATTGGGAAGTGACAGTACCAGGGGTATCGAACCCTATTTTCCTTAAATGATCCGCTGGAAAAACAACCACTTCGACGTGAAATAAAAAACAATTACTTGTTTATAAAAAGTCTTTGAGATGGCAATTAAAAAATGAGGTTCTGCGACATTGCGACGGGGGACGTGGCACCACCCCTTTACCGTCGGTTAATTGGTGTAGCGCCACGTCCACCAATATCTAGAGTTGAACCTTGAGTCTTTCAAAAGAGCAATTACATGGCCATACAAGGGCTGTTAATATTTAGTATTACATTCTTGTTTGCTGGTTAACATATTCTATGGATAACGTGATTTACAGAGTTACATACTGACTTTGTCTCTCATTTCCGGCATACAATGCATATGCATTACCTGAATTACATTAATCTTACATTGCGTTGGATTACTTTTGTGTACAGTTACAGTTTTTAGCTGTACATTTCAATAAATATACCTACATTACTTGTAGATTGCATATAAATACAGTTTGCATGTACAGTTACATATGCCAATATTACATGTGCCTTGCGTTACATTATTTTTATATACATACATAGTCAGGCACGCCTGCTTCACATATTACTTAATTTTACCTACACTGCTTAAACCTTAGGTTACATATACTTGCAGTTGCATATAGATACATGCAGATACATTCTGATTAATTTTTTAGATACAAATATTTACAAACATAATAGTCTTACAGGTTACTTACATTACATGTTATTTGGGTACTTATTGCATAATTTTCCAGTACATGAAATAGACATTCCAATACATACATTGCTTTGCGTTAGACATCCTATATCCCTTATTCATAATACAAAACATATATGTTACCCATGCATTTTTATTAGACATTTCTGCATTTATATTGCATTACTTTAAATTGCATAACTTACTTATACATAGCTTACTGATACACAAAAATATTTACATATATTACACTCCCTTACATTACTTTGCTTACAGATATATGCACTTTCATACATTCGTTATGCCTACATTATATATCGGTTCATTATATATGGTCTTACGGTATAATTTGCCGAAATTTATTTACACAGTACATGCACATTGTTAAATGCAACTGACTTTCCAGGTATGAATACAGGCAGTCTTTATACTGTGAGTTTCTAGTCTACATTATAGTTTCTTACAATTCACTTGAATGACAGTTTTCCTACATTGCAATACATGTCCTTTTTAAAATGCTTAAGTTGTTTTTACATGCTGGGTTGTTCTATGGCTGACACAAGTCTGTATCTAAGTCGGACAGTCTGTCCATCAACTGTACCAGCTTTTTAATAAAGTGCCGCTGTTTTATCATATATTTACAGAACGGCTGGCGATTTGTTTCAGGGAGATTGATATGCAGTCCTTCTGTTAATGGGCATGACGTTAGATAGTGCTCTGGTGAGCCTGAGTCGCCGCATGCACATTGACTTGTGTGACTTATGCCACGCTTGAAGAAATATTCCGGGTAGGGCCCATGCCCGGAAATGAACCTTACCAACTGTGCGTTCGCTACATTTCGGCTAGTGTCCACATAGCCGATGAAGTAGTGGGTCCTTCTCCCTGTGGTGCTTTGGTCCCATTCGTTCTGCCACATGCCAGTAGCCCTTAGGCGTAGTGTCTTCTTTAAATACGAATGCGGCCATGGGATGATAATTGGTGCATCAGGCGGGTCAGTTGTTGCCTCTTTGGCGAGTTGGTCGGCAAGTTCATTGCCATAGTGGCCAACATGAGCCTTTATCCACTCTAATTTTGTGCGGTACTGGGGGTTACTTCTAAGATCTCTCTGGATTCCCTGTATAATCTCCGAGGGATGATCTGCATTCCAAATGGCATATAACGATGATAAGCTGTCCGTTTTAATGGTGACATGGCTATGCTGGTGCGAGTGCAGGTAGCGAATCGCTTGTGCAATTGCCACTGCTTCGCTTTGAAAGACACTGTTATGTTGTCTTAACTGTCCCTTCCATTTCTCGATTGCGTTGTCTTGTTTCGTGGCGACATAGGCGCATCCCACTCTTTCGTCCAATCTAGACCCGTCTGTATAGATGGTCATTTCCCTTGAGTGATGAGTTGCAGTGGGATTAATTGAGATAAGTATCCCTTTGCCTTTCTCTGCCGGGTGGACGTCAAGAGGGCAGAAGTTTGTTTCGTACTCATCCGGGTAGTATGTTTCATCGTCAAAAGTAACTGCCTTCTTAAGTTGCAAAATGTGTTGGCGTGCTGCCTCCTCCTCAACCCGGATGTGCAGGGGAAGGAGACCAGCAAGTACGTTAATGGCATCGGTGGAGGTGGTGCGGTAGGCCCGTGTGATTCCCAATGCGAATGGTCGTTGTATGCTGTTAAGATGTCTGACCTTCCTTCCTTGCATTGGGTAGGCCCATACTGCGGCAGCATACGTCACTATCTTCTCGATGACTGTCGTGTACAATACCTTTTGAATATGGGGGTTAAGCCCCCATTTGTGACCATAAAAGAGTTTCATTTGTTTGGCTATGGCTGCCGTCCGGAGTTTGAGATCCTGCACGTGAGGGATCCAGGTCATCTTATGATCAAAAGTGACCCCTAAATATCTTAGCTGGTCCACTATCTGCAGGCGTTGGTTGTTAATCTTTATGGTGGGGCGTCTTACTAAGGATCCTCCTTTTTTCGGAATTAAAAGGACTTTTGACTTATGTTCTGCATGTTCTGCAATTGTGAGCTTAAGTTTGGTACACTGGTCATGAAAGATCGCGCAAACTTCATTGCAATTTTTCTGTAATTTTTCTCGCGCGTGGTACCCTTTACGATAAGCGCCGCGTCATCCGCGTATGCAATGATTTTAGTGTGCGCCGGCCACGTCGCTGTCAGTACTTCATTGAACGTTAAGTTCCATAAATGCGGCCCGGCGCACGATCCTTGCGGACATCCTCTAGTTTGCACCTTTTCGATAATGCCTGCATTATGCACCGCTAATAGCTTCCGATCCTGCAGGTAGTTGCTTATTATACTATATATGTTACTTGGGCAATTGGCCCTTCGTAATGCCTGCTTGATAGCCGGCCACCACAGCGTATCGAAAGCATTCTTTAGGTCTATGCTGACCATAGCCGTGTGGTGGCCGCTGTGTCTATTTTCCAGAATTGTCCTCCTTTATATTATGGAGGGCATGCACCGTCGATGAACCAGTCCTGAAGCCATATTGGCTGCTGCTGAGATAACCGTTGAGATGCAAGTGGTGGCGCAGTCTGTTGATGATTAGCTTTTCCAACACCTTCCCCATCGCCGACAAAAGGCAGATGGGTCTGAATGATGAGGCTTCTGAAGGATCTCTGTTTTTCTTGAGGAATAATACCACTTGCCCTATTTTATATGGTGTTGGAAAAAGTCCTACTGACAGAAGCTTATTGAAATAGCTTACGAAGAATGTAGGGTATGCCTTTATGGTAGCTTTTACGATTGTGTAGTCCATGCCGTCTGTCCCGGGGGCTTTCTTTCGCGGCAGACTTGCCAGCACTCTCTGCAGTTCTTGAAGCGTGAATTCCGGATCTGCTTCTGTGTCTACACTATTTGTATCTGCTCGAAGGGCAGCTTGTTCGGCGGTGTCTTGCTCTGCATCGTCCTGACTGAACACAGTATTTAAAACTACATTCAAAGTGTCAGTCGTGTAGCTTTGGCTGCTATCCAGTGATGACGGGATTTGAAGCTGCGAAGGCTTGAACACCTTCCCCGTTGCTATCTTGTGATGCAGCCCGTATACTTCTTTTGTATTGGAACAGAACTCTCTCCAAGATGTTACTTTGGCCTGGATGATCATCCTTTTGTATTTTGCTCGCTCTCTTTGAAAAATGGTGAGTGTGTCCGAGGTGATCTCTAGCCGCCTCTCGTACTTCAATCTCCTTCGCAAAGCCCTGCATTTACGCTGTTGCTTCTGTAATGCGCCCGTCCACCAGTGCATTTCCTTTATCTTCTGAGGTTTTTTCTTGGGGAGATTTTGGTCACAAACTAATTGTAGGGTGTTCTGTAGCCTGATGGAGAAATTCTCTAAGTCTGCCATTGTGTCTGCATGCTGTAGCGCCGGTTCAAGAGTTTCCAGGTGCCTTTTAACCTTCCTAGTGAAGGTAAGGAGCTTTCTACCTGGGAGATTGTACCTTTTAATTTTGGTGATAGATGTCGACTGCCGCAGAGAGTAAGTTATAAATTTGTGATCACTTAGACTTTCTTGATCATCTACTTTCCAATCTGTCAGTAAGAACGCTGCTTGCAAAGACGTAATAGTGAGATCGGGCCAGCCCCGAGCGAAGATTCTGTCGAAGGAGGGTGGCGCTTCTGCGGTATTGTGGATAACAAGATTTTTCGAGCTGAGGAAGTCCTCCAGTTCTCTGCCCTTTGTGTCCGTGGCACGATAGCCCCAGGTAGTATTATGGGCGTTATAATCTCCCCCGAAAAGTACGTATGGAATCTTTATCTTGTGTAAAACTTGCTCCATGAACCTTGCAGTGGGCCCAATTTCCACTGTCGGTGGCGAGTAGCTCGAAGCGATGGCCAAAGTAAGTGAATGAACTTCCAGGAGTACTGCAATGTTGTCTTGTTCCGCTGCGATGATAACCGGCGACCAGTCCGGCCTGCAACATACTAAAATTGCTTTTGGTGCATTATCTTTATCTATTTTCTGAAATACCGTCCATTTTACCGGGAAACCTACTGCCATCCCCTCTCTGACATAAGGCTCTTGACCAAGGATTATATCTATGTTCTTTTCGATTGCATATTGTATTGTTTGAGCGACTGCCGCTCTGGCGCGCTGCATATTGATTTGTAGTATTTTCACCGGTGTTTCTTCTGCTATAGTCTCTCGGTTGACAAGTACATCAGTTTTTGACTGGCTTCCGCTGTTTTGTGATATGATGCTATTATCAGTACTGGGTAATACTTCTGATATATGGCCGCTGCACGTTGGTACTCTGGACACTCCGCTGCGTATGCCGGGTGCCTGCAGTCATACCTAGCTCCGTGTCTCTCATTTGCATCCCGACAGTTAATGCATTCTGGAAGTTCGGCTTTACATTTGCTGGTGTGATGGGGTCCGGCGCAGTAAGCACAGAATTCCTTTTTGCAGGTACATTGGTCTTGTGTGTGGCCGAGCTGTTGGCACTTGTAGCATCGGCGTATTCCCAAGTACTCTGTAATTTTATGTGCGTGCCATCCGATGTAGATTCTTCTAGCTCGAAGGACTGCCTGGATACAGGAGGGGTCGCATTCCAGGACCCATTTAACACGCATTGGATTTCTCTCTCTGAGCTTGAAAAGGGCCTTGACATTTTTGGTTGAAATGCTTGTTGTCGTTGCCAATTCGTCGATGAGATCCTCCGGTTTAACGGAGTCTGAGACGTTGTGAATTGTGCAACGCGGTTTCCTTCGTTGTCGTCTGCGTAGGCTGGCATCGATGTTGGCTTTCTGCAATGCCTCTTCTAAGTTGTCGACGTCCTTCGCTGTCTTGCAATAGACCTCTATCTCTCCTTTTGCTGTGGTGGAAATCCTTTCCACTGCTACTTGCAACTTGCTGAGAGGCGCCTTCTCTTGTAGCTCTTTTCTCAGTTGTGTTTTGTTCTTTTGCGCAGAAGGTTTTAGGATTAGGCTGGGTTTCTGCGTAAGCTTGACGACCTCTGCAAACGACCTTGGCGTTGTGTCCTGTGCACCAGCAAATGCCTCTGGAACTGGAGGAGTGGCTCTTTGCTGAGGTTCACTTTGTGCTGCCGTGGGCGGCGTGTGCAGCTGGCTGCAGCAAACAAAAGTGGACGTATTCACACCTATCTCTGCAGTAACTGGCTTGGGCTTAAAGTCTTCACCCTCAATTGCTAAGCCCTGTAGGATACTTAGAGATTGCTGGACCCGATCTCGGAGATCCTGCGGAAGAAGATGCCTTCCCCTTCTGTAAGTGGCAGTGATCTGCCAGATGTCTTTGACAAGGGCTTTAACTCGGTCCTCGTGGGTCAATTCCGAGGTTGTCAGCGCATTTGTATCCAGTGGCTCTTGTAAATTTTGGGTGTCCGTGTTCTCTGGCAACACTGAGGGGTGTGTCATGTCACTTTAGTATCGCACGATCCGCTTTACGCTGAGAAAAATTCACTAAAAAACACTTGGTGTAGCTTAATGCACTTTTGCGAATATACACGATGCGGTAAGCACTGATGACACTTTCACTAGAGCACTCTTATGTGAGTAGACACTATGCACTAATTACTGATGACACTTTCACTAAGGCACTTTTAACAGCTAAACGCGATGCCCTAAACATTGTTTTCACTTTAACTAAGGCACTTTAATGCGAAGAATCGCAATGCACTTATTTTTGGTCAAATAGATAACATATGTCACTCTGTGCACAATTAATCAAGAACTATCTGTATACACCATTAAGATAACTTGACACTTGTTTAATAAATCATGAAAATCACTTTGTGCACGATAAATCAACACTAACTGCCTATGTCAAAATAAGAACACTCATTAAATAAATTACACAAATAACATGTGTCACACTGTGCACAAGTCATAAATAGTTAATTGTATATATCAATTAAAACTTCCTAAGCACTTGTTAATGATGTCACATATATCACTTGCACACAATTATCAAATACTAACTATAGATGCTAATTAAATTCACTAAGCACTTGTTAAACAATCGCATATATCACTCTGTGCACAAATTAACGGGAACTGACTGTATGTCAATTAAATTCGTTATTCAATATTAATACACAGTTGTTCAACAGTGAAGCAACTATGTCAATAAATACACTCAAAATTAAGACCACTGAAACAGGTAACGTGAAGATTTGTTAATTACAGGTAATTAACTTCACATACATTAATTAATCTATGGCACCTATCAGACTACAGTTTGCTTAGATGTCACGATATGCGGACTGCACACAAAATAAATACCACAATGTTGTGAAATATCAAAATAAAGTTGCTAATAGCAGGTAATTAAATACACAATTAAAAACTTATCTGCGCTACTTAGTCTGCGCTACAAATCTGTCAATTAGCTTAGCATATGCTTCTTACTCAGTGCTACTGCACCATCGAAGCAGAGCAACACACAATTTAAATTTTAAAATTAGGAAAATTAATTACATTAATTAAATAGAAACCTGTATCTTAGTCATTGAAGTAGCTAACAAAAAGAGTACTTGTCCTATTATGTAATTGATTACATCCGGCGGAAAATTAAATCAATTATATAGCTAAACTCGGAAAATAATTAGATATTTAATTATTGTAGAGAAAGCCTACCTTGGCCGTTATTATCTTATCTGTGCTTTCTGTACAGGATGCTGCTGCGGAACTGCGTAATCCAGGATTATAGTCACACAACACACTTAATTATGCAAATCACTGGCACAATCACTGGAAGATGTAAATTCTAGTCCGGAATAACACAAAGTTAATATCTCTAGTTGTACTCGTTCAAAAATTTCGATTTTTAAATATCCGTGATCCTTATCGCGTGAGGATTCCAAATCCAAGGGTCCCGACGAGCTACTCCAATTAGCC